TTGTTTTTGTTTTCCAATCTGTTATTTGGGCAATTCTATCCTCCTGATTATGATGATGATGATGATGATGATGATGACGATTTTTTTTTGAATTTCAATTTTTTCCCAGATCAGCGATATAGAAAGAGAAAGAGAAAGAGAGAGAGAGAGAAAGTTTTTGTGTGTGGTTGAAAGCAAATCCTTAAAAGGGAATGTTGTTTTTATTACGTTGTAAATTTTGACATTACAAAAGGTTGAATGAATCATCCATTTTCAATTTTTTTTTAAATGAGTCCTAATCCAGTAATTCTACATATATTCTATAAAATTTCACTTTAAAAACCATTTGGCCTACATATTAGTCAAGAATTCTTCATAAAATACACAAAATATATGAAACATCTCAGAATAAAACCACAAAAACTATAGCCAAAAAATAAAGATATACTCGTGGCTTACATATGAACCGCTGGTACTATGGAAGAAACTTTGAGCTGCTCACAAATGAGTCGTTTGGTAGTCAATACGTTAATAATATATTGATGTAATGCAATATAACTGTATATTGTATTTTAACGGTGTATATGCAGTAGAATATCTTGCCATGTATATGTGTGTTTGTATGTACTATAATATAATTTGGCATCAACAATTTGTCTACAAGTTGTTATTTCCTCTAAAGTTTTTTTTTATTTATTTCATAAATTGAAATTGGTGGAAGGCATCTAATATCTTATGATTACAACGTTTTTTTTCCACGTAGAAACAACAACAACAACAACCAAAACAAAAATTCCCGATAATATTACAGTTATCATATATATGTACATATATATATGGAATGAGATATATATCTGTATCTGTATTATTATTATTATTATATACTTGGGATATAAATAAAATTGTCGCAGGAAAAAAAAAAATTATAAAATTGTCTACTTAGTCGTCTTCATTGTCGTAGTTGATTATTTTTGCCGATTCATCAGAAATTGTTTTGAAACACCACATTTAATAACTAGTAAAATATTACCATTTAGTAGCATGTGGAGGTCCATTTCTTTGGAATTTTCGTTTATTTGAGAAAAAAAGGGGTCCATTCTTCAATATGTGTGTGTGTGTGTGGTGCCTCTATTTTCTTGTTCTTCTTGATTGATTAGAAAAATTATATGCTGTGCATGTATGTAACTCCATAAAAAAAAGAATCATTAATTGAAAGTGAAAAAAAATGATTTCAATTTTTTTTTCGCCTTGAACTTGAACTAGATAACTATTACACACACATATAAATATGAATGATAGATACGAAATTTTGGCATTCATTCCAATCAATATATAGTTGTATAATAATAATAACATGTCCCTAACGTTCACTCAATTATCAGTGATCAGAAAAACGGATTGTTGATGTAAAAAAAAAATGAAAATAGAAAAAAAATCGCCTCATCATCATCATCATCATCATCATTATTATTATGTTTTGGATGTTTTTTTTTTTCTTTCTTCTAACGATCATAAGTCATGAACAGTTTTTTTTTACCATAATTTAAGGTAAAAAATAACAGTAATAATCTTAACAAATGTGTTAAAACAATCTTATTGTGTGTGTGCATGTGTATAAATAAGATTGCTCTATAAGAAAAATCATTGATTATCGATGATTATATGAAACAAGTGAACAAAAAAAAAAAAAATTCATGATCCAACCGTTTCACAATGAATGCGATGTAGATCGTTGGGCATATATCACATATTACAATTTTAGCTATGAATGATCAGCGTCGGCGTCATCAATCTGATAATTTACAACTATTTTTTTTTCTCTTTCTCTCTCTCTCTCTCACACACACACACACACACACACAAAAATCAATCTCAATTGAATCAATTTGTTCCGAAATATTTTTATTCACATTCATTCTTTCTATATATTTTTTTGATGAACAAGAAAAAAAAAAAAATAATTCAACTACTTGTTTTCACATTCTTGATGATGCTATGCTTGTCCTTGATCATGAATTCTCTTTTTTGATGGAAATTTTGTGTATGTGTGCGTTATATAGAGTTTATATATGCATACATCGATTTTCATATGCGTATGCGATCATCATTTATGTACATGTAGTCAGATAGCTTATGTGTTGGAAGTTCCGGTGCCATCGACCCAATTCAAGGTCCCGGATTACAAGCAAATAACAAAAAAAAAGAAAAGTTTTTTTTAGTGATATATTTTAACGCGTATGTTTTTATGTGTTTGTTTGGAGCAAAGTAAGTTTTTTTTATAACTTTACTTCAATCATACAAATGATGATGATGTGTTTTCAAAAAAAAACGAATGAAATTCAAATTAATGAATTTCACGAATCATTATTATAAAAATTCAAGTAAAGTTTGTTTGTTTGTTTTTTCTTGCATTCACCTTTATAGAATAAATATATATATGTATATCAATCGATTACAATTGCACAAAAATCAATTTAATTATATCAAACATACAACTCTTTCAATTCATTCATTAATTCAATCCGAATATGGGCCATATATTTGTGAATTGGAGAAAAAAAATATGCAAATATACGGATGGCGTAACGACAAATCAATTTACGAAAAAAAAATATCATATCAAAATCAATATATAAAATAGAGAAAATTAAAAATAAAAAGCATGGTGAACTTGAAATTTGTTCTTTTCTCAGAAGAACAACAACAACAACAAAGATTTAAAACTAGATCATTCATGCATTCATTCATTTTTTTTTCTTTGATGACCAATGTTTATTAGGAATTGTAACTTGGCTTTTTTTTTTCACTATATAACAATTGTTGTTGTTGTTGTTGTTTTTTCCTCGTTCCAATTTGATTGTCTTTTCTTTTTCTCTCAATTTCTTTCAATCTTGTTTTACATTTTGTTGCTTAGATCATTGATGGATTTTTCATTTTGTGTGTGTGTGTGTGTGACATGCTTCGGGTTTCTCTACCAAAATTGCTCAATTGTTCATTGAATTCATTCATTCATTTATTTCAAATAGCTTGTATATGTACAATACAAAAAAAAATTGGCAAATAACATATAAGCATAGGCGACCGGGTGTTCCATTGACCTGCTCCCATCTTTTTTTTTAAATTTCATTTCTTTTTTTTGCTCTCTTGATCATTTGGAAAAAAAGTATAACACAGCAGCTGCTTGCCCATATTTATATAAATTCAAGTTTCGAGGTTCCGTTCTCTTTTTTTTTTTTTTTTTTTTTTTTGATTCGATAAAATGTATTATTCAATGTCGACATTGACACACACACACACACACACACACACACACAAGCATAGAGTTTCAGTGTCAATGTCACAGAAATTTTTTTCTTTCCATTTCCATTGAATCCTGAATCGAATCATCATCACAAGTCCTTGGAATCATCGATCAAATAGAAAACATGAAAAAAATGTAATGATCTCTTTTTTTTGGATATTTGATCAAAATCAAATCAAATATGAACTTGAATTAAGGTTGAATTTTTTTCATTTTTTTAAATAAAATTCGGATAAATATTGTTTGTTTATTATTGTTTTGAGTTTTTTTTTCAATCGATACTTTTAGCATACCAGGCTCGCGTGATTGACCCGGGTCAAACGCGTTTGTTTCATTAGAATGGAAATTGTTGTTGAAAACTTTCACTTTTTTCTACTTCCCGGTCATTGCTGTTGTGGTAGTCCATTTCATTGTCTGTTTTTTTTTTTTTTTTTTTTTGGTTCGTTTCGTTTCATTCATTGTCATCGTTCATTATCAAGGCTAACGTGATGAATTTCATCCATAATATTGTCCTTACTACCGGCTATTGACGGTTGTGTTGACTAAAAATGAAAAAAAAAATTTCCGACTTGTTTCCAACAACAACAACAACAGTGGTAGTTTTAATTCAAAAAAGGAAATCAGTAGCAAAAACAGTCATATATCGAAAATCTGCGAAACGAAACGTTTTTCTATTCATTTTTATTAATATGAGCTTCTGCTTCTTATGATTAGAAATGAAAACTTATTATTGACACATAGATATATTTGTGACCTCAAACTTAGACATACATAAATTGAGGTCACCACGTCATACAACTATTGATGATGGTGCTTTACTCTTGATACTGAATGTTACACACTGACACACTCATACACACAGGATTCATGCAAATTCCTCCCCACACACACGCTTCATACAGATCTAGATGATAGAGTTTCCTATTGTTGTCGGTTATTTTCCAACAAACGCATACACACACACACACACACACAAGCTGGATATTATCATCAACGACAAGAGCGAGATAGAGAGTCTGAATTTGGAAATTTAGACACTTTTTTTCATCTCTCTCTCCGGTTTATTGTCACGTAACCTTGATCTGTAGCCATAGCTTGTTTATATATCGTTTGTTTGATTGTTGTTTTTTTTGTGTATCAGAAAAAAAGCCAGCAGCATCAACAGCAAATGCATCTTTCTCGAAAAAAAAAAAAAAAAAAAATAGGAATTAGGGCATTATAACTAGAAAAACTTAATTGTATAATACTGTGATTTTGGATAAAATATAATGAATCCTTAATTTTTTTTTGAAAAAATAGAGGATGTTGTTTCCAGATGATGATCAAATTTTAGTAGGATTATTACTTATTTAGTCGAATAAAATTGTTTCTATATACAATCTTATGGCTTCTACTTTTGGATTAGGTCAACAACACATAATGAATGTACAATTTTCGTTACATGTTTCATACACACACACACACGCACATACAGATACAGATATCTTAAAATGCCAAGGCCATTCTGGAACAAACAAAACAACAACAACAACAACAACAAAAATTATGAAAATAATCAAGTCGTCATGAATCACGACAATAATATACGGGATTAATGAGCTTTCCAAGGTTAAGGTCAATTACTTAACTTGAAACAATTTTTTTTCTCTTGAATTTAAATAATCTTAAAACTGAAAATTTATATTTAATATTCATTGATTTTTTTTCTCTCTTTCAATAGTTGATGGATGTGAACCAAGTTCTTCGGAATTGGCTAGTTCCTCATCAAATTCTTTATCACCGTCATCCACTTCATCATCACCATCATCATCATCATCGACGACTACGGCAGTAGCTGTGACTAAATCCAATTCATCATCATCAACATCGACAACAAATATCAATAAACAAAATCTGGTCGTTCTGAATGGTTCAAGTGGATCGTCATCATCATCAACATCGACAGCGGCAACCGCTGCCACAACGAATCTATTACAAAATATACTTCAACAACATCATCAACATGCATCTGGTACACATCATTCTGGCCATCATAGTGGCCACCATCATCCTCATCATTTACATCATTTGAGTCATCAATTACATCATCATCAAACAATATCAAATAATCGTTGGTCACCTACAAATCGTCATCATACGGCAACGACATCATCATCAACATCAGGGGCAACACCTACAACCAATAGTCCATTACCACCATCACCTGCTGATTCTGGCGTTAGCGATGTAGATTCCCATTACAGTTCGAATGATGAACAAAATCATCACCATCATCATCAACAACAGCAACAACAATCGTATCAACAGAGTCCATTTTATTATGGACAACCACGGTCTCAACAACAAAAATTCTTCTGCCGTGGCTGCTGCTTCCACTTCTGGAGGCACAGCATCAGCATCCGGCAATTCTGGGCCAACTAGTTCGACGCAATGTAAGTTTAATAATAATTCATATCGATTACTGTAGATAAAACAAATGATGAAACGGCATAGTTTCCACTTGAGATTTCCGTCATAAGAAACTAAACAAGAGAAATTATCAGCAATGACAATACGATCTTATTAGATAGGCTAATATCATTTTTGATTTCCGTTATCATCATTTATATTCATCGATATAAAGCGACCGATTCTATCCTACTGTGTTGGTAAAATATAGTCATATTGGATCCAATTTTCTTATGGTGCCTTGAATATCCGGTTTTGATAAAATCATCCGATTCGATTAATTGACGCTAGTATTGCTGACATTGATCATCGACACCAACTGACAATGATGGAAATGAGTCTTTTCCGGTTCACGCAAAAAGATTTCGGTCATTTCATTTTTCTTGCTGTTTTGTTGTCGATTTTGCAATTTTTTGCTTTTTTTTTTTTGTTATTGTTGCTAATTTCCGTTCTTCATTTGTCCGACTATTTTGATGATGACAATTGATTGTTCTACATTTATATAAGACGCTCGGTTGATATAAATTTTCATTTTCTATCATCTATAGTAGCCAAACTTGGCATAGCAACAACAACAAAAGGGAAAAAAATCCGAATAACACAATCGTCGGTTTGGTTTCTCTCCATTTTTATTTTGTGAATCGATTTTTTATATATTATCATGATTCTGTTTAGCCTTTTTTCTCATTATTCTGTTTTTCTTATGAACTGATGATAGATGACGCCCAGAAGCGTATCGAAAACACATTGTGTTTATATTTTGGCAAAACAACAAAAAAAAAAAAAAAAAAAAAAACAAAGTCGTGTATATGTAGCCAGAATTCGTGAATAAAATTCCATTTTATCAATATGTTGTTTTCCTATACAAATGTTTTGTGCAGATGTTTCCGTGAAACGGGTGATTGCAACGGGTCATGAATAAATGTTTGGTTGATAGCTACAGTTTTCTCTTCTTGTTGCTTATTTTTGTTTTTGTTTTGTTTGCATTCTTTGTTACAATTTCGATACATGGTTCATAAAAATGATGAAATTTTTTTTTTAATTATTATAAAATGTATTGGATCATCGAATGTCTATATAGCATATATTTACATTCTTAACAAATATATATATGATTCTTAGTTTTTTAAATATTTATTTCTCTACACCCGATATTCAAAAGAATTTGATCAAATAACTTTTTGTTTGTTTGTTTGTTTTATGTTTGTAGTGATTTTGAACTTGAAAAAAAATGTTCAAATCATAGTAGTAATATATCCGCACAGATATACACAGGAATAGTTTAACGTTTTAAGCATAATAAACAAAACAAAACAAAAAAAGATTGAGAATACTGAATGATGATCATGATGACCTCTATAAATGGCGCAGGTTCTGTAAATAGAACAAATCATGTACTGGTATTAAACAATTTTTTCTAATACGTTTCTTGTTGAATTTACTACTGTTGCAGTATTTCTCATATCACTGTTGCTTGGATCGAATCTGAAAGTGCCGTTTCTTGTTTGTTTGTGTGTGAGTATGTGTGTGTGTGTGTGTGTGTGCTATATATGATCGACATGAATATGATCTTAACCTTGGTGAAAACCGTACAAAGTCACCGGTACATTCAACCCAGTGACATTGAAACCGACTGACGACATTAGCATTGGAACGATTGTGCTATAGCGCTATTACGTTGGCTTCTCTAGAACATTTTTGTTACGATGTTAATATTAGAATGTGGTTCTATATAAAAAAAAGGGAAAATAATCGTGTTGGTGTTTGCCTGTTTGCCTGTTTGTTTGTTTGTTTGTTTGTTCAATATCATTCAATTTCTTAGAATGATTGATTTTTCCTTTTTTTTCATAATAATATAATTCTGTTTATGTTTAAAAAATGACTAGTCACCAACAATTTTAATCAATTTTAGACAAACAACAAAATAATTTTTCTGAAAGGAATCTATGCAAAAATCTATGTAACGGTATATTAAATACTTTTCCAGTTTTCATTTCTTTCGTTTCTTCTAGTGATTTCGTTGATGCTAATAATATTATTAACACGTCTAGTCATTCAAAGTGATCATCAGTTGATTCTTATGAATGTGTTCATATATTTATAATAGATTTGAAAAAGAATTAGTTAAATTTTTTTAGGTCAATCAACTCCCTTTTTTTACGTACCCAGACAACATAATAATCAAACACCATGTTGGTATTACCCCCTTGCTACCCACCATCCAGACGTTTTATTAGACCATTTTTTTTATTTCTATTTTGATTAGAATTAATTTATCTTTTGTCGTTGTTGTTGTAGTTGGTTTCATTCGAATAAAACATGACTGTCCTTGTGTTATATTTTTTTCCATTGTATTGGGGGTGTTTGATGGTGGAAAATATTTTGAATAATTTTTTTTTGTTTTGATTTTGTTTACCATCCTTGCTAAATGATTACCGAAATCGATTGTTTGAATATGTAATTAGCAAAAAAAAACCAGCTACTATCTTTAAGCCGGTTAAGATGTTTATACAAGTGTTTTATCTAGTCTAGACATCATCACTAAAAACAAAACATAATACAATTTTTTGTTCAACCTGATTAATTCCGTTATATTAAAATGGCCAATCACACCTATTCGTGTGTTTGTGTGTGTATGTGTGTTTGGGTCCATTTTTCATGCCAATCGATCAATCAAATAATTAATTTATAATAGCAATCAATCTTTTTGTTGATATGGGCAACATAAACGGAAATGTTATTTACAGAGAGAAAAAAATCTTTATATAATCGATATATAATAATGAAAAATATGTGAATTTTGTTTCTGCTTTCCGAATCGAAATTACTATACATGTATGTATGTATGTAGAATCGATTGAATGAGGAAAAAGGACAAATAATTTATCTACCGTCAACAAAATTATCATAATGATAATAATATAGGCCTGACAGATACATTTCACAAGAAAAATAAAAATGAAAATGAAATGAAATTAACCAAAACAAAAGGTGAAATGACGATAATGATGATTATGAAAATGCTCAATTAAATTGAATCCATTTTTTCTCTTTTCACCATTTACACACACACACACACATACACTGTTATAAACTTGAAGGTGAAATGGAAAAATTATCCAATAATAGAAAGGTGAATGTCTCCATTATAATTTTCTACTTCAATGTTGATGATGGTAGTAGTTGTGTGTTGCTAAAAATATCTGGCTGTATATTTGTATGAAAGGATTGAATGAATTCATATGTCCGTGACATTTTCAAATACGAATGATACAAAACAAAATCTTCCGCCAAAATATCTTATATTTGTGCCATCGTAATATTCTGATTTTATTTTTCCCTATTCAATAATATAATAATGAAAATGATAGCAACAATCTGTTTTTGTCATGTTTTTATTTTGGATAAAAAATCAAGTGTAGTATGAAACAAGCTAAATAGATGGGAATCCTATCATAGGATGAATTTGGTTGAATGAATTTCTCGTCTTTCAAAATGGTTGACTGGATTTTTCTTTTCATATATGTGTAACAGTAATTATTCATTCGACCGCAATGAGAAAAAAAAAACAATTTATTGAATAACAAATTCAATTGAAATTCTCATTGATTGGTGATTTCGATGGTGGTTTCCTTTTCCATCCAGTCAATGTATGTTTTGATTGTTTTTTTCTTCAGAATCGTGAAATATTTTCAACCAAAAGAATTTTGTTACAATAGAAAATCATAAGAGGAAAAATGAAATATATTTTCAATCATCATTTTCTTTATGTGTTTATGTTTTGTATATGAAAAAAAATAACTACACCATGCAAACATTATTACTTGTCTCTGTTGTTGTTGTTGTTGTTGTTGTTGTAGTAAAAAAACATAGAAGGAAATTAGGATTTGAGGTCACGACCTGTCTTTCGATTTTTTCCTTCTAATGTTTATGTGTGGATGTTTAAGTTGTTTTTTTTTTGTTCATTGTTGTTTTTGTTATTTTCATGGCCATTATCTTTTTCTTATTTCACATTGACTGATATTTTGAGGAATTTTTTTTTTTTGGTTGAAAAAAAAGAAGACATATCATATCATTACATTTGTTGATTTCTTTTTCATTTGAACCCATGTTATTATTATTATGCAAGAAAAGAGAAAGAAAGAAAAAATGGAAAATTTGAAAAATTGTGATCTGATGAAAAAAAAACCGAAAATCATGTGTATATTTATAAACAACAACGAACGATGAATCCAAAACTTAACCAGAAAAAAAATGATAATAGTTTATCTTCCACATGCATACTATTCTGGTTTTTTCTCTCTTGTGTTTTCAGGTGGTTTTCATTTTTTGTTGTTGTTGCTGTTGTTTGGTTTCGTTTTTCTAGCTACCAGTGAAACAAAATTTCTCTTTTTTTTGTCGTTGATGATCCATACGATGAATCCAAAAAAAAAAACTGGATTTCCTTTCATGTCTCAGGAAAAAAAATATCGAATCTAAATATATACACCAAACTCCTAAAGGGCTATGAATAATTTTCTCACAGCTCACATCACCAGCCCCATTTTGTCGATCTGTGATTTAGATAAATCGTCTGGCTGGCTCTCTTTTTTTTCACTATAAGTCATAAATAAGGTCAAAGGGCGACGACGTTTTCTTTCGATTTTTTTTCTTTGATTTATTTTTGGAAACCAAAACCATATCCTTGTTGTTTTTGTTGAACACTTTTCCACTTGGTGTTTATATGTTAGTAGTGAAAATGGTATGAGAGAGAAAGAAAAAAAAATTTCAAGTGTTAAACTGCTTCAGAAATGATGATCATGTTGTGTTGTGTTTATATTATAATTATTATTTTTCATGTTTAAATCAAGAGTTTAAGTGAAATTCGTTATTAGTATTAGATGTATTATTAATACAAAATTTTTTTTATTTGTTGATACTATTATCGATTAGTTTATATTTCTTTATGTGTTTGTTTTATGTTTTTGTATGTACGAATATATTAATATAAATGTTAGTTCCGGTCTTTTCGATACTTTGGCCATTTGTATGCTTTTCTGTGTTTGTTCATGATTTTGTTATGATATTATGCAAAAAAAAATGCCAGAAATGTTTCATTTATTAGACTGTATGTATGTGTATTATTATTCTACTAGATATCCACAATGACAGACATAACAAAAATTCTATGATGAAAGAGAAATAACAAATGTTTATGAAAATGGCAAGGTCGAGGTCAAAAAGTTTCTTTATATGAAAATTCATTTTTTTTTTTTGTTGTGTTTATGAAAACATTTCTTATTTACTCTTGAAACCATTTTTAAATTAGGGTTTTGATTGAGGAAAAAAATCCTAGAATGGAAATGTTTTTTCTTCAAACAATAATTAGTCATTTCAGTTCGATATATGGATTTTGTATTCGTTTTTGTTTTTGTTTTTGTTTTCGGTAACAAGAAAAAAAAACAACGATTCCCCTGACAAGATATAATGATCTTTTCAAAGATCAAAACAAAGATTGCAACAATGGGCTCATGAAACAAACAAACAAACAAAAAAAAACTAAACCATCATTATGTGAAACTATGTCGACTGACTGATTGAATTGGCTGAAAATTTGTTTCCCCATTTTCTCTTCTTTTACCCCATTTCATTGGTTTTCATGCTTGGTTGTGAATATATACCAATGATGGAGATAACCTCGATTTTTTTTCTTCACTTTTTCTACGATTTGTTTATAAGTGGATATAATAATAATAATAATCATCATCATTATTGTGGTAAAAATAACAATATAAAAGAATGGTGTTTTTTTCTTGTCTATCAAGATTTATTGTCTATTATTGTAAATACTTTGTGGTTCGCTTATTTCCTATATCAATCCTCATTTTCTAGTTTTCATTTAGTAGCGAATATTTTTAAAATAAATCATTATTACTCCATTATGCATATATGATATGATTATCAACAATTTCGACTATGACATTTTAATTTTATTTTTTTTTCATTTATATTTACTTATTTATGAATGAATGAATGAATGAATGATTATTGTTGCTGTAGCAGATTGATTATTCATTGATTTCGGTTCATTTTGGTATCCGATTGGATAACATTCATTGCATACATAGAATGATAATAGATTCACTGTCTGGTTGTATATAATAATATACATGTATGTATGCAAAATGGATTTATGGACTCTAATTTTTTTAATATTTCGTTTATATGATGGTTAGGATATGATATTTTTTTTTGTTGTTGTTGTTTTTGTGGAAAAACAGATCTACTCAATCAATTTATATATGTGTATGTGTGTGGATTATATTGCTCATATTTCACAATTCGATCTGATGATGTTGACTATACACAACGATGATGACGACGACAGCTATGGTGATGATGATGGTTCACCTTGAATCCGTTCATCGACTTTCACTGATAAAAGCTATAGCACGCCATATATATCATTATCATTGCTTGTTTTTTTTCAAGAATGGGGATGGTAATATAGCACCCCGTATAACATAAATCGTCATTTTATGTGTTTATGCGTTTATGTGTTGATTGGGGCTAACTTCGCCTCTACAATTTCTCCCTCCATTTTTTCCCCATTCTCTTGTTGCAATACCCATGAGAAATACATACTTATGGTAGATTGTAGAGACCCAGGACGCCTGTGCGCTAAAAAAAAACCAAAAGAAAGAAAGAGGAATAACAATTTTTTTCTTTATTATTTTGTTCCTGTACATTTTTGGCTTGATAATGACGATGATGATGATGATGATGATTGTTGATGCACAAACACAACAGGCAAATATTTGTCTCGAAAGTATCGAAAATTTTTAAAAGTTACCCAGGTCCAAACAACCCATCGAATGATGATGATCAGAATAATTGTGTAATATGGATTTCATTATCAAGAGTTTTGTTGTTGAGTGATTATCAATATATATTGTGGGAGCCAAACAATTTCTATAACCATTCGATCTGTATACCAGTTGTTATTTTCCATAGTGACAAACGAGATTATTATTGCGACTTATGCAAAGGCGACAACTTTTACGAAAGTTTTCCTCATTTAATTATTTATTATTCCAGCTTTCTTTTTATTCTTTTTTTTCAAAAGGATTTACAGAATAAATGGATTTATATTTCCCTTTTCTAACTCAGGAAACATATGAAGAATAAAAAGAATCATTTTTATTTACTGTAAAAATTCTGAAGGATTAATTTCAATGTAATCAATGATAAAATTCGGTTCCTAGGGTAACTCTCAAGTAATTTATTCTTCACAATGAAATGTACCAGTCAAATTAAGAATTTTCATTCGAATTGTCATTGAAATTTTCATTTTTCAAAACGATCTCTAAATCAAATATTATTAAAAACGGATTGATTGAACAAAGACTTTTATAATTCACAGAATGTTGCTCAAATTAACACCCCAATTTCTATCAAATGATTTTATATGTAATTTCATCAGTAATAATAATTGATTTTATTTATTTTGTTTCACATTAATGAATAGATTCTGATGGTCCATTAACGTTACATTCACCCATTTCTGGTCATCTTCAAACTCGATTCAATGGTTTTACTCATCCATCAACAAATGGATCACAAACACATCATTCTCCCCCGCGTACTGGTACACCGATTCATCAAACAAATGGCCTCACCCATCCAAGTCTTTACACTGCTGCTGTACAAAGTTTAGAATCACCATCATCCACCACACCAAATGGATCGAATACCGGACAATCGAATCCGTGTGCTAATCAAACAAGTCCCCAACAACAATTATTGTCTGCCGCATTACAAGCGGCCGCTGTTGCCGGTGGAGTTAATTCGTTGATTCATCATGCTGCACAACAACAACGACGTCCGCCAGGACCATCATTATCAATGGATTCATTCTATAGTCAACAATTTGTTCAAACAAGTCCTTCAATTGGTGATCATGGTAAAGGTAATCAAATTAATAAAATTGAACTTGAATTAATGCATACTGTATCGCCATCTGTTATCTTAGCATTGAATATGTCTACATCCGTCGATGATTCACATCATTTGCATCCATATCATCAACATGCTCATCATCTTACTCAGACTGGAATGACCGTTAACGGTAATGGTTCATTGGTTAATGGTGTACAAGCATTGAAACGTAAAAAGGGCCGAAAGCCTAAATCTTTGGATGGACCAAACTTGACATCGGTTGGCTCAAATCATAGCTCAAATCCAAACCCAAACGGTGGTCTAACGCCATCGACGAAACGAAAAAGTCGTGAAAGTAAGTTTATTTACTTTTCTGATTTTCAAAAACTATTTCACTTTCTGTTTGATAGGTTCAACTACTTATTTATGGGAATTTTTGTTGAAATTGTTACAAGATAAAGAATATTGTCCACGTTACATCAAATGGACTAATCGTGAAAAGGGTAAGTATAAATGTGAAATTATCTATGACAACATGTGTAATTATAAAATTGTCGTCTATCATGATGAAATAGGTATATTCAAACTGGTCGATTCAAAGGCCGTTTCACGCTTATGGGGCTTACATAAGAATAAGCCAGACATGAATTACGAAACAATGGGAAGAGCTTTAAGGTATTTACTCTAATCAAAAATGTTTTTAATCTAATGTTTGTTTCGTCTATTCAACAGGTATTACTATCAGCGTGGAATCTTGGCTAAAGTCGATGGCCAACGTTTAGTTTATCAATTTGTCGATGTACCTAAGGATATCATTGATATCAATGGATCAAGTTCTATGTCCAACAATGGTACAGTCAGTGATGCCAACAATAATAATAATAATAATAGCAGTAGTGTTGTTGCAATGAACAATACGGCTGCAGCAACAGCAGCTTTATTGAATGGAGCCAATCTGACCAATAGTCATGGACATGGTCATAATCCGTACTCTGCTCTTGGATCGCCATATCATCTAACTAATGGATCAGGATCGAATTCATTGTTGGGTGGATCACCGATACCTCCACCATTAGTGGCTCCACCCGGAACTAATAATAACAACTCACAATCATATGCCTATGCTGCTGCACTCAAACGAGGTATTTGATTCTGTTTTATTTCATTGACTATCTCAATCTCAATTAATTAATTAACTCATTTTAAATTTTATATAGTTGAATCGTCTGCAATGAAATGTGATTCGTTTTCTTTGGATGATCTTTGAAATTTGAATTTATTTGAAAAAGGAAATAACCAAAAGAATTGTGGATGTTAACTCTTGCTCAACATATTCCATGCATTTTTTCAAGATGAAACTTGCAAGATTTTCAACAAATTAAAAAAGAATGCTTGCAAAAAGAGTTTCTGTGAATCACAAAATCTTACGAAAAATAATCGGAAATCTTTTTCGACATTTATAATAAATCGAAATGAACAATAAAGCTTTCGAGTGTCTGATTCCATTAATGGCCACTCACTATCTATCTACCAAAAGTTGAACTACCTACCTATCAATCATCAATGAAAATTTTCGAATCATTTCTTCAAAATCATATAACCACAAAATCATCATTACCTTGTGACCATAAAGTGGATTGATTTTTCATCATAATAATATAATAATAATTATCATCGTTTCATGTGTCTTTGAAAGTGAGATTTTTTTTCTAAATGAAATTAACGAATGGATATAATGATATGTATAGTTTTGCTGAATATTGATGCAGAAAAATTGCCGTTCATGACCATCTTTCCATCCTTTTTCATTCAATCATTATTTTTTATTGTTTTCTATTTCTTATTCCATATTCTTTGTTCGTTTCCTTTGAGATATATATATATGAATGTGGTTAACATAAACACACATACACACGCCTACTTGTATCCTGTTAATCATATTAATTATTATTTTCTATTATAAAAAATGTTTCTTTTTTTATATCTGACAAATGATGATGCAAGGATTCCTAAACTGAAGTTATCGCATTTTCTTTTCATTCATCACTTTCATTTTGAAATTCTCTTCATCTAATGTCTTACACACTCACACACACACACACACACACAAAAACATTATTTACATCCATCATCGAAATCATCATCTTCTTTATATTTAATCAATGAAGAAGTGGTGAAGAAAAAAAAATCGTTCTTATATAAGTTGTTATATTTTCTTATTGATTCATTATTATTATTTTTACATTGATTTGACTTCATAATGAATGATTAATTGAGTTATAATCATCATTCTTTGTCATAAAATGATTGAATTTTGATTGAATTGTTGTTGTGTTGTTTGCATCATATATACATTTTTATTTTCATTGTTCTTTTATTTTCCTGCCCATACACATTCATATTCATTCATTCATTCATTCATTCATTCATTTGATCATCAATACATCATCATGGACAAACAATTAAAATTCAAAAATAAAACAATCATGACATTAACAGTATCGTATATATATATAAAAAACACAAATCACACATTGCGAATATATATGATCCATCGTGATTATTCTCATCCTCTCAATTTCACAATCTGTTTTGTTCTACTTTTTCGTTCATTGCCTCCCTCATCATAATTCAATTTTATTATTACCTATTGATTCATGATTATTATTATTATTTTTATTTTTATTTTTATTATTATTAAATGACGCGATATTCGTTTCCAGTAAAATCCATTAAAATTTTTATTTCGATTTAAATATCCGTTTTTTTATGTTTTTTTTATCATTCAGTTTTTATTATTTACATTATTTCCAAATATGATGATAAACCTGACCCGATGACCTGATCTTTTCATAAATCATTTGCTTGTTTTTTTTGTTTACTTGAAATTCTAATCATTCTTGAATATATAATGATTAATATTCATTTATCCTCAATCATATTCATCATCATCATCATCATCATCATTGTGCCGTTTGTTGTTACGATTTTTTTTTGTTTCTTTTGAAGAATTCAATTTTTTTTTTTTTGCAGTTACACAAACCTGAATTTCGAAGAGTCAATTTTCATACCATCATACTGATCATTACATGTTTTGTATTTTTCTATTTTTCTATGTCTATCTTTGTAATTTTTTCTTTTTTTTCCGCTCTTCATTTATCGTAATCACATTTGTGCTTTTTTTTGCTCGCTTCTTATCAATTCAATTCATTTCATTTCAAATATTTATTTTGGCTCTCAATTTTGTTTGATTGAAAAAAAAAAAATGACACATTTTTTTCATTTGATATACCATCTATAATGAAATAATATAGTTCCAAAACTATGTTTGTACCAATCATCAGATGAATTTGAAAATTGATTACTATTACTATTATTTTTTTTCCCGAACGAATCATGCTCTAAAACATAATATATAATCGTTGAAATAAAGATTTTTGACTAGAAAAAAAGAAAAAAAATGATTTTTTCTTTCTCACTTAAATATATGAACAGTACGTGCCTTAAGGCTTAAACAAAGCCCGTCATAATAATAAAAAACGTTTCCATTAACCGATAGGAAATACAATTATTTTATTAAATTATTTTCTCAATAATAGAAAAAAAATAAGGAAATCATTTTTCTTTTATAAGAAAGTTGAAATTATTTAGATTGCCTTCAGAACGATGATCAACGACAAAAAGTAATGATGATAATGCTGTTATATTAGATGAATTATTTTTTTCATTTATTTCCTAAAACCAGTTATGCCATCTATCTTCTAGTGTTGATGATTTAACCCCAATGTGAAATCATTGTTTCGCCAATTTGTAATGCTTTTGGCAATGTTTGAGCACATGGACCTTTGAAAAAGAATCTATTTTGGTTTGTAAAAATAAAATAAAATTCATCATCATCATTTTTCTTAAATAAAAAAAAATTCTCTTTCAAATTACTTACTTTGAATATTCAGAAGCAGCAGTCTGTTCGATATTAAATTCGGAAACAGTTATACCACGTGTAGCTGCTTGTGGTACCAATGATGCAGCTGGATAAACAACAGATGAAGTACCAATGACCAATAAGAAATCCGTAACACTCATCAATCCTTCGGCTTGTTTCAATACGAATGGATCCAATTGTTCTCCGAACCAAACAACGTGTGGACGAAGAAGGCCAGTACATTTTTCACAACGTGGTAAATCTTTTGGATCAATATGACGATCTAATCCATCTAATTCGATTTTATCCAAAGCGGGAACTATCGGATTATTGTAGTTAGTTTTGACAGCTTTACATTGTGTGCATCTGGTTTTGAATAATGATCCATGAAGTTCAAGTACACGTTTCATTCCAGCACGACGATGTAGTTCATCAACATTCTGTGTAACAACAATTACTTGGCGTTGTGGTGAATCACGAAGAAAATTTTGTTCTAAAACTGACAATGATTTATGTGCCAAATTTGGTTCCTTCGACGAGACTAATTGTCGTCGATATTCGTAAAATTGCCAAACCAAACCTGGATCTTTGGCAAAAGCTTCAGGTGTGGCCAATTCTTCGCATTTGTGTTTACGCCACAAACCATCAGCACCACGAAAAGTTGGAATACCAGATTCGGCACTAATTCCAGCACCAGTCAAAGCCACAATTTTACTGGCCCTATTTAACTGGTCCTGGAAAGCGTTCATATCTGATGAAACTTTACGATTACTCGACATGTTCCGTTGATGATACGATGAGACACAAGAGTTAAAATTCAACAAATTCAAACAAAAGTTTTTTGTAGAATGAATTGCACGAGCTTGTTTAATCGACGACGATATGATGGGGAATGGAAAAAAAATTTTACGACTCAGGCAACTATGACACGAAAATACTTTTAAAAAACAGGGATGATGTCTTGGCAGATTTCTGCTAAAATGACCAAATGCACTTCGTACTTTTATTTGTTGTTTCATAATAATTATAATTAGTTACTCGATAACTATGCCAATCTTTGATGCATTAAAAACAACCACATAGATAGATGCATATATACGATATCACCACTTTCTCTTTACTCATATACGTCCACCTCTTACAATCAAATGCATTAGTTTGACCGTTAGTTCAAGCAAATTATAATCATCATGGAATGGATATCATATCAAGATAGATAAATTAAAGATAAGTTAGAAATAAAATAAGGAAAGAAAAAATTTATCGTATACCTGAAAGTCCACGAACGATGAACAACAGCAACAATAATTTCGTTGATAATTCACATGCCTGACTCATAAGACTTGTGGAACCTGTTTTGAAATTTTTTTTTCTCTAAGGATCATTATTATCATTGCAAGAAAAAAACAAACAGTTTTTTCACTCTTTTCACAATAAAAAAAAACGTTGAAAAATACATTAGAAATCAAAATTTTTAATCAAAAAATATGTACTTTCTTGTCGTGGCTGTTGTTATTCCTTATTTGTTATCATTAATGTTATAATCCAAAATCAATCAACAAACAAGGTTCTGGATGGTTCAAGTTACAATTTTTTTACCACCTAATCTCTTTTTCTTTATTCAGGGATCAATCTTATACGTTTTGAATAAGAAAATGATCAAACTAAAATAAAATCAAAAAATGGAATACACAGCTGACATGAAACAATAATAATAAAGGTTACAGCGATGCAACACTAGATGGTAGTAATATATAAAAAAAAATTAAAATTCTTTTAGAATGTCATATTGAAAGAAAAAAACAACTCTAGTCTCACGTATTCTGAATGAACATTTGAAAAAAATTTCAAAAGGAATTTTTAATGAATTATCGTCATTGGTACTTTATCAATACTAATCTAATAACAAGTTTTCTAGTTTTTTATTTTTTCTCCTATGAATCTTGATTCAGTCGTATTTTTTTTTATCATTATTATCTTAATGGTAATGATGACATAAAAAACTGACCAAAGAAAATAACGTCAACTGTTGCCATAATGATGAAAGGATTTTTGTTCATTTCAACGATGACAGTGGTTGAATTGAGTTTTTGGATTGATTTCATACATTATATAATATAATCGATCATGATTGTTAATGATAATGTAAGAAGAAATTTTGATTCATTTATGAAAAACAATATAAAAACATTGCTACAAACAAATAAAATGATTTGAACTTCTTTTATCAAATTCGTATAGTTATATGGATAAAACCTTGACCATGTCTGTACATGTTTGAATGTTTGTATGTTTGTATGTGTGTGTGTGTTTGTTTGTGTGTTTGTGTCTATTTGGTGATGCATCATCAAGATATAAATGATATGATATCCAAGCTGTAATAATGTTTTTTCTCTCCATTTTTAATTGGGTCAATATTAAAAAAATTGAAATTGTAAAATTTTGAGATCCAAGTATTTCAAATGATACAGGATGTTACATTGTGAATGAGTAAGAAAGTAAGAGAAATCTTGTTTGTTTCGTTATATTGTAAATGATCAACATCATATGACAATCTTTTTGTATAACATAGTAAAGAATACGAAATTGAACAGAAACATTTCAACTAGTTTTGTTTTGTCAACGAAAAAAATCTGTCCAAAATAGAATCCATATCGATTACGAGAAATCGCTTGTAAGAAAAGATTTCTTTCTATGTTTTCTCGTAAATAAATCATTCGTTTGAACCTCAATTTTTTTGATCGATTCGGTTTCGATTGATTTCTTGCATTCCAATCATAAAGCATTTTGAAGAATCTTTCATTGTATTTGGGAAATGCCGATATGACGATAAACACAATTTCTGAATAGATGAATGTCATGATAAACACAATAATCATGAAATATGCATTGATGCTAAAGTTTCCTGTTTTACCGCAAGCGAGTACGATGATCAGCACTAAACTTATTGACAGCATCTCAAGAAACATGAGAAAATTGCTTTGTATATTGTTAAAATGAACCATCTCACTGTAATGATTTGAATAATGACAGCGAATATCTTTTTGAAATATGGCCATTCTACGATTCCAGATCGATTTCCATTTTTTCACTTCATCGAGCAATTGTTTTATGTTCGATGTGAGATAACCCAAACTGAACAATAAATAAATCATCTCCATACCGATACCAATTATAAAGTGATCAATATTAACAATCATAACCATGCAGCACAAAACGCCTATGAATAATTGATCTATTTTGATTTTTTCTTCCAAGAATTTTTCAATTATCAAATAGATCATCCTTAAGCAAAAAAAAATAAAACCAAATCTGAAAAAACGATTCAATTTCTCAGTGAACCGTTTAGATCGAATGAAAAATTTAATCAATAATAGCCGATTAAGATAGTTAAGGTTTTCGCCAATGGTATTACCAAATTTGATCAAAATTTCATTCAATGGATATTGGTGTTTGTATAATTGCCGAAATGTTGCATACCATTTATATTCTTTCATCAGTAGTGTAACTGCTGAAAACGATAAATACAATTGTATATTATCAAATCCCAAAATTTCTGCTTCAATTTCTGAGAAAAATTTTAGACTTGGGATATATTTAGTTTGCGTTATGATCAAGATGAATGCCATGAACAGGGTGGAAATGGAATGAAATACTGTCTTTGCACATCGTTTCTTAAACGGTATCGAATGAGTACGATATTCATACATTGAATAATTGATTCGTTGAACATAAATTTGTGAATGCTTGAAATACATTTGGAAAATCATCGAGATAGAGTTTATTTCTAGTATATTCGGTTTTATCTGATCCATTAATGAAACGTTGAAATTTTTTTTGGTGTCATTTGACGAAAAGGCAAACAAGAAATGGAAAAAAGATGATTCTTTGCATGAACTAAAACATTTTTTTAAAAAAATTTTGAAATAAATTGCTTAGATCTCAATCATGTGAAATGAAACAACACAATTTTAATTATTTTTCATTTGTATGAATTCTAAATTTTCAAAAAAAAATTCAAATGACAGTAATCATGTGATAACACTCAAACAGTTGGCAAATATTTGATCATAACCAACAAGATGAACATGGAAATTTTTTTTCTAATTTCAACATTATTTTGTATTTTGTTGTAAACTATCCTCAAGTTTTGTCTAAATTAAAAAGTTTATATGTTTTCGAATTGATTGATTATAAAAATTAACCTACATAAAAGTAAAAAAAAAAAAATACAGGTAGCCATTACTTTTGCTTCAATGTAGACATGGTATGGAATATTGCAAAACAATGTTCATATTGATGGTAGACTAAGCTAAGCCAAGCATTTTCGGCAAATCATAAAGATTTAAACAAATTATTATTTCTAGGAAATTTTGACAATAACACACAAAAGATAGTCATCATGTATAAATATCCAAGAGGAAGGTTTTTTTTATGCATTATACATCACCTCGATATTTTTATTATCATTATGGATCGTCATCAGAGAAAAAAAAATGTTGAAAACAATTCCATAAATCTTCTACAAACATCCATCTAAAAAAATGACAGGTGTCTCCATGCATATTGACAATATGTATCAGTTCGATAATTGCGGCATCTTTTTTGTTTTTTGTTTTTATCTTTTTTGCCGCGACAACGTTAGAAAAATTTATCGATAATCACGATGATGATAATGCAATGTCAACGAGTGTAAAAAAATTTAATTTTTTTCCATTGTTTGACTACTACTTATTATGCATCATGAATCTGTTAATCTTCTCTACAGTTGGTTGATTGGTCGGATGACTTTTTTTTTGTTTGTTTGACAATGGATACCGACAATATGTCATCGACGTGTATTTCATTGGCGATGATTAATCAATGATGTTGATGTTTTGATAAACACTCGTTCATCCAATGATAGAATGCATATCACTTGGATTGAAATGCAATCCTTTGATTAATTTTGGGATTTTGTTTAATCAATTTGGTTGTCTTGTTTTTTTTATTGACCAATGATAACTAGGTTATTTGAGTTTTGATACTGAAATATTTCAAAAAATTTTGTTCAAACTAATTCATTGAATTTGAAAACTGTAACTTTTCAATGCCTAGTCAATAGATGGCAGCAAAATCACGAAATAAAAGAATGTAAAGATTCTATTGAATCGAATATATCTTTTGACTCGAGTCATGATCTTCTATTGCATCATTTTGTGAATTAATCGGTATCTGGAATTGACAGCGAACCAAAAAATTGAATTCAAATCCGATTGAGAGATTGTTAATAATATTTTTGTTTTTTAGCTTTGTTCATATCCAAGAAGAAATTGCAACATTTTCAATTATCTTTCAAGAAATCAAATCAAATCAATTTTTCGTTATGTATGTACTATCAATAATAACTCTGTATATCGTTTTGAATGTATGACATTTTCCCGGACCAAATTCTTATTTGTTTTTGTTTTTTTTTTTTTTTTTTTTTTTTTGGTCCCATTTTTTGTTGCATTTGTATTTATTGTGTATATCTTTTACTCATAAACATCCTGTTTTGTCATCTTTCTCTTTCTTTCACAATGATATCTTTTGTTTTTCTTGGTTGTTGTAAAAAAATGGAAGATAAATCTCACCGTTTTTTTTCACTCTGTGTGTTTATTTGTGTGTTTCATTTATTTTTACACACAAACTAACATAACCAACAAGTGGTTTTCTAGTGATTTATGACACCTGGTCTTTGTTGGCCTAATAACAATTTTTATATTAATGATGGCAAATGTTGATCTCCGTATTGTCGGCATCATCAACAATAGAACATGTAGAAAGCATTGTTTTTTTTTTTTTTTTTTTTTTTGATTATCTTTCATTCATACATTTGTTGTAATGGAAAATATCACCACTTCTATAGCGATGATAACATGACAAAACGAATGCATCCGATTTTAATCATTATCACCATCATACAATTATGATCCATTCATTCATAAGATTATTTTTGATGATGCAATGATCAATTCAAACCAAACTAGCTAAAAGCTGTATAAATAATGTCAAATATTATTCTTTTAAAGAAGCAACCATTAATGTCTTTTACAACTATATTATATTATCAAAAAATTGCAATTGTTTTGATCAAATAGACTACTATAGAAAATAGTGAAATTTACCGATCTCTATGAGAATATATCTTTTGGTACACGATACACATATCCACCATCATTGGAGAGATCTTGCAAACACAATGCCTATTTTTGTATGTGTATATTGACGATTTAATAAAAATAAAAATTATTATTGACAGACTGTTTGGTGCCATCAATCTATTCGTTGGTGATTTTTGATTGTGTGTGTGTGTACGGATATATTTTTGTGAAATTCAAATCATATGTTCAGCTTATTTACCTTGTTGGTAATCTTGATTTTATCTAAAAAAAAAAATTTTTTTTGATTACAATGTAAGTAGTGTATATAAATGTATGTTTTTTGTTGTTGTTAGATTCTCTTCCTAAATCCAGTACATCATAATAATAATACATTTTAATGTCGATTCAATTAACCCCTTTTTAGTTGCTTTTATATTAATATTTCGTCTTGTTCATAAAGCTTTTCTTCATTTTATATAAGATTTAGAAAAGCTGTATAAAATAAAGTGAAAAACTTTTACTTCAATAAAAATCCATCACTGTTTTCAGTGAAGTAAAAATACAA